CCCTACTCCTCCCGCTAGGGCGGTGCTTTTCGTGAAAACTGAAAAATTTCTGCGGTAAAGTGGTAGAACGTTCAGGAGAATTGAGGAAGATGGTAAGTAGGAAGGAGACGAAGTCTGTGGGTTGGGGTGTCACCAGAGGAGTAATTCTGAGGGAGGAGATTGTATTTTGCAAAATGTCTCCCTAAAGGCAGAACGTGCTCTGATTGCAGGTACAAGTTTAGGGGCATATGTTGGTATGGCCTTCCTTGGGGGTGAGCCTGTACGGCTAAATTAAACAGAATAGCAAAGGTCTTCTGAGTAAACCCAAAGGCGAAAAATTTGTGGGAATTCTACCCAGTCTGCTTTCGCCCTGCCCTGCAAGGTGTCTCTCCCACGACGTTTTCTGATAAGCAGGAATATTAATCCTTAAGTTATTCGCCCTACTCGTTTGGCCCACTTGAAAGTCCACTTTAAAGCACATTTCCGCGTTTGTTCTAACAGGAAGACAGCTGTTGGCTCCTAGTTGTCCCATGATCGATTCGCTCCCGGCTGGCTCCGGCGGCCCTGGGTGCAGGATGGCAATTGGAGCAGAAACATTGAAGAGAGAGCGAGTGCGACAGGAAAAAAAAGCCAAACCAATACACGGCCGTGGCAAGGTCATTTTCGTATTGCGAAAGTGAACGACGACGATGTCTGGCTTTGCTCCGGCCTGTTGAAGACGAGGGATCTAATTGGTAGACATCCACACATCATACGATATGTTACAGATGAAATTCGTACCGGGACCTACCGATCGCTATTCCATCCAGAGCAACTCATTACTGGCAAGGAAGACGCCGCTAACAACTACGCTCGAGGACACTACACCATCGGAAAGGTAGTTGGGGAGGGTGCTTGAAGTAATTGCGAATTTACTCACTTTGAATTTATAACCACGAATTCCAGGAGATCATCGACCTCACCTTGGATCGTATCCGCCGCCTCGCTGACAACTGCACTGGACTACAGGTTGGTTTGAAAAATGTTTCTTACCTAGTGAAATGTGTTTGAAAGTTCTCTGCAAGGGACAAGTCCTCAACTCCCCCCCCCCCCCCTCTTTGGCCGGTGATGTCACTATTTGACATGGTTGCTAATAAATAGTTCTGCTCAAAGGTACCAAAGAAACACACTGTAGTCATACTGTCATTATCATAGAAGTCAGTCGGAGTGTTCAGCTGCATGTGGATTTTGGCAAGATGCCAGCGCCCTTTTCACCGTTCATTGAACTCCCCAAAGCCGCAACGATCAGTGGAAAACGAGCTGGCGTCACACCAAAACCCATGCCACTGACACCACTGACGGACTTCAGTGATAAAGAGTGCAGCTTGAGTGAAAACTACTACCATTTTATGGGTCCCTTACAG